CTTGTAGCCGACATATGGAAAACAAGGTAGGAAGGAAAGGAAAACTCTCCATCTTCAATTTTGTAGTTGTAGGAACTCTCCGAAAAAAATTCAAAATTTTGCAATTATCGAAACTTTAGAGTTATCTGTGAAAATCTTACCTATGCCATATTTATAAGTGTACTTCACTCTATTCTTACAAGAAAATTAAAAAAAAATTGGGCCGTTTTGATAAAATTTTGAAAATGTCCGTGAGGCTTCATGTAAATACCCCAAAAATTAATTAATGTTTTTCAAAATTGCAGAGCTTTACCTCAGGCCACAACTACAGTGGTTAGGCGGAAGAGCAGGCCCTATGGCCTGAGCCTCGCCATTAATAAAGACATTATTGTTATTATTATTATTATTATTATTATTATTATTATTATTATTATTATTATTATTATTATTATTATTATCGACAAGGGTTTATTCAATTTGGAAAACGTCGTGTGCCTAGTTTAGGCGCTAGTGTTGTTCATATACAGCAGACGGAGTGTTTGCCGTCAATCGATTTTTCTCGGTATCAAGGACCCACAAAACAGGGTTTCTGGTTAAACCACGCATTAAAGAATTTTTTGTTCATAATTTAGCAACTGAATTTATCTACTTTTAGGGCCATCACACTATCTGGCACAATCCCAACAGACGTACGCAAATCAGACATACCCGTTAGCTCAATGCTCACATTGCGCAACACCTCAACACGGATACAGCCAATTGCACACACCAACGCCAGTCGTTCCCAATTTCCCAAATTTGAATTCCTCTCCGCCCATCGCTATTCAACACGCTCGCCCTCCACCCGCAGCCGCTCACCCCGCTTTCTTCAGCCATTGCGCAGCGCGGCCTACTTCGTGTGTTTCCCAGCCGTCAGCACACTGCCGCGACGCCTCTCCGCCGTTAGGACAGTCACCTCCAGTGTCAGCAAATATAAATCATACTCAGCAGGTACGCTCAACCTCAAATTATCGCCGAAAACGAAAACCTTCGGGGAAATGTTTCAATTGCAATGGGGAAGGGCACCATTTTCGGCCGTTCTTGGCGAAGACTTTCTGGATGCTCATGGAAGTATAGTTAGTTACAAACACCAGAGCTGTTCAGTGACAGACAACAGCACGACAACAATGGTCTCCATCTACATCGGACAGACTAGACCTACCATCCATACAACTACGGGAGTCGGCAGCTTAGACGACAAGGATATCTACAAGAGTAATGCTGTGTTTTTAGAGGCTGAAAAGCAGCATTAGCTAATAACGGAGCCAGTGTTGGGGACATTGACGCTTTAAATATAAGTTCCAGGGATACCAGCGTCGGTGACGCTGATGAATTAATTTTTAAGTCTAATTATAATAGTAACGTGCTTTTTCAAAGTCCGAAAATGAGTACTTAGATAATAAGGGAGCCAGTGTCTAGGACGCCGGTGACCTATCTAATAATACTATCGGTAAGGGAGACACCGTTGCTTCGGCGCCGGATGAACGCCCTGAATACGTCATCATAACCATTGACGCTGAAGACAATGATGACCACGAAACCCCTGTTTCTTTGAGAGGGCCAACTGAGAGGTCTCCTCCGCCCACCTTGCTGTTCGAAAACCATGTGTCGCTAGGGTATATAACCTGTGAGGATCCCCATGAACCTCACGGCGCGCATGAAGACCCATCGAACGTTGCGGTTGACGAACGAGCAGAGATTTGGCCACAAACGGGAGGAAAACAAGAGGAACTGCTCAGTCTTATTGGCCTTGACCATTTACACCTTGACCTTAAGACGCAAATTCAAAAGTTAGTAATGGAGTTTGAGGACATTTTTCTCTATGGTGAACGAAAATTAGGCGTTGCCGACCTCGTTCAACACGTCATCGAGGTAGAAACCGAAAAGCCGATTTCCAATGGCACCTTTATTAGAGCCCGCCCGCTTATAGGGACAAGATCGATGGCAATAAATGTGACAAGCAATTTGAGATCAAGGGATCCATAGGAAAAAAGCGAAAGTTGCTTGGGCAAGCCCCCTCATGCTGGGTGAGCAAGAAACGGGGAAGAAGGAAGCCCCCGAATTTCGCTGTGCGATCGTTACAGAGCGCTGAATAAGGTGACTAAGCATCAAAATTTTCTCGTCCCGTTTGCATCATGACTTGCTATAAAAAAAGAATGTTTCAAATTCCACTATCTTTAGCTCCTGGAACTGCCTTTTCTGGTTCTATCAAGTCCCTTTACATCCTGACTCCAAGGAGTTTGACCACTTTTGTGACGCATCGGGAGCGTATCGCTTCACTCGATTGATCTTTTGCTCCGCAAATTGCGCTCGATATGCTTTCAACGCATATGAGAAAGTATTTCGCGATACCGTGAAAATATTCTTTATACATTGAACGAATCTTTAGACATGACACCGAACGAACAGACCTCATCTTGAAGGGCTACGACAGATTTTTTGAGCGCTTTACGAGCAGCAAAAATTATACATTGAAACTGCGAAATGTAAATTTTCTTCGGAAGAAATTTGACTTCTTCGGTTCACCTGCAATTGGCGGCAGCATTGTCCCCAAAGACAAACTCGTATGCACAATTGAAAACTCCCGCGGACGACTACATTTACGCCAAGTTCAGACGTTTCCTTGGTTTTGTCAAGTTACTCATCGAAACTTCATTCCAAAATTTTCTGAACTTGCTAACTTTCACTCACTGACTTGACCAAAAAGGGAACCCCTTTCAACTGCGACCCCAGTACTACTCAGATGCTTTTGACAGACTACGCAATAGCCTAGTAAGCTATCTAGCTAGTGCCGAATATCCCGCACCGCCGGGACCCGAAACTAAGACTTGGCTGAGGACACTTGAGGGGTACACCGCCACCTATTATCTCACAGAGTTCGAGGATTGAACGAGAACGAAGCCATGAGACGGTTTTCAATGGCGAAACATTCCTTTGTATGCCTTCCTTTGGAGGGGAAGTAAAGCCGCTGTCCATGGTTGATTTACTACATGTGTAAAGATACTCAAACCCCAATAAGCCTCTGAACTAAATCAAATCGCCTGTTTAAATTGCCCCAGTGGATACTTCTTTCTCCGCTTAGATGGCGGGGACGGAAAGTAGAAAACTGCTGGTAAGCTGAAGAGCAGTCTAAGCAAATGACTGTCGAGTAAATCGATGACATTGTATTCTTTTGAGGAACTTCTAGGTAATGAGTCACTTCTTTGATTTTCTTAATTTATTTCCCCAAATTAAAATTTGTATGAAAAGGATACTTAACCATTCCCTTGAATTTCGTGGTTTAACCATATACTATTAAAAACTCAAAACATCTTTTCAAACGCATTCTACCATTCCATTGCCACGCTAATACCATCATAACCATGTGCGTTGATAATGGTTATGATCTCTGATAATTGCCAAAGTGTGTAAAATTGAATTTTGAAAAAATCTTTCCTCAACATTGCCTTGTAGCCTAACAAATTATTTACATTCCTACATAGGTCTCACTATCTAAATGTATATTTTCAAGGCTTCACCAATACTTCAGTATGCTTACAAAACTTTAAACTCTCTTCATTGCTAATTATTCCATAGTTCGAAAATAACCTATCCTCTACCCATTGAAAAGAAGTTAGCATTTATCACCTTTTACTTGGTAATAACTTTGATTCAGCCTACGTAGGTCAAAGAGACACGAACGTTTTCCTTTAGAATTAATGAACATATTAGATGCCTTGATGCAGAAATTTAGGACTCTTTCACACCTTTTGCTAACCCATATTGATTAAATTCAGAAGCAATTCCTTTGACCTAATTTATCAATTTTAAAACCCTTTCACTTAGTCACAAAGACACGAAAATAACATTTTTGGGAGAAGATGGAATTCTAAAACTTCCAAAAAATATATTATTCTATCTCTGAATGAAATTCTTCTATTTAGTTAAATTTAAACAATTTAAATAATTTTATTGACTAGTCCCAATTATTCCTTTTGACTTTATTTTTCTGGCCAAAAATCCAATTCACCTAAGTCACCTGAGCTTAAAATAATGAACTTTTTGGAATTTATTAAATTAAAAATTATTTAGAACTTTGAAATTCGCTTAAAAATGTTTTCTGTCCCTATATTAACATTCCCTGAATGAAAAGCAGGAATGTCAATTTCTAAATCTGTTTAATGACACCTCATTCAGTCTTCCAATTCCCCTCGTTGCCTCCCAGACAAAAGTAAGGCTTTTCTATTCATCATCCATTACACAATATCGCTGTACTACGCTGGCGTCCCCGATAACATTTTTCTGTTTTATGTATTTATCCGACCATAGTTGACCCATCCGAGCTTTTGAAGTATTCGAAGATGCTTTGGGCAGTAAGTACTTTTTTTAATTTAATTTATTTATTTTTTTTTTCATTTTATTTGTTATTTTTTTACATAATTTTACTGCATTTTCTTTTTGCCTCTTTCCTATGTAATTTTTTTTCAATGTTCGTTCTTCTTCCGTAGAGGACCTACTGAAGATGGGGAAAAACAAATGTTTCCCGAAAGCTGACTTTGTTAGTGAAAATTTAAATAATATAAAAAATTAATATAATTTAATATAAATACTCATTAATTATAATTAATAAAATGTATTAACTAAACATGGCATTAATTTTATTTAATTTAAAAAATATTTATTTAACGTCAAAAACAGTAAAAAACTTAGACATTACAGGAAACTGGACGAATAACGTTGGATCGAGTGGAGGTGCAAATTGCATTCAGAAGGAAAAGTACAAGATTGGTAGACGGATTATTTCCCTTTTTCTCACATTATGCTCACTTTGTTTAATTTATAATAAAATTTAAATTAAATTTTATCAATAATCATGGTAAAGTAAACCTGCACAATTGCTACATGCTGCTTTAATTATATTAATATGTGAAAAATATTCTTGTTGATGCTGCTTTAATTTCCAATATAAAAATTGATTTCAAAAATCAAATAGTTGATTTAAATCAATCTACACTAGCTTGTTGCCCACGACGAGCAGCGGCACCTTGCGCATGTCCTCTTCTCGGAAGATCCGCTCGCGACAGCGCGCGGATGTACTGGAAGGAGTCGGTCGTTGGCCAGGTCGAAGAACCCCAGCACGTAGCCGTGGCGGAGCGGCAGCCCGTAGAAGCATGCGTATGTCCGCGTCCACTTCGTAGAAGTGAGTTGTAGCGGGATAAGTACGTGGACTGACGGGGGATGTCGGAGCTCTTAGGCTCGTACAGGCGCTTCGTTTTGATGATCACCGACGGGTAGCTGTGTGGTGGCTTGCGCTCCGTGGGCACGTATGCGTCGAGGAAGTCGTTCCACACGAACTGCTGCACGACACAACTCGCAACACAGCACACAGTCTCGAGATCGGCCAAATCATATCAATCTGGAAACAAAAAAAAAATGTTTAAGGGAAATAATCGAACCACTTTTGTAAAATCGGTCCTTTTAGAAAAAAAGGCTACTTTTTTCATTTTTCAAAAATGAATTTATAATATTTGTATTTAATAATGACATAGTAGTAACAATAAATAAATTAATTATTTAAGTACAAATATTCGATCTGGCGAGTATGGGTGATAGGCGGGCAAAGGGGAATTTCCACAGGCTTGTACGACCATTCGTTGGGACTTGACAATCCTGGCTTAGGCCGAACCGATTTAATCATATTGGCCTTTGCTCAATTCCAGGGCACTCCCCATTGTCGGTTTAGACCACGGGTACAGGCAAGTTCTCTCCGCTTATCGCAGTCGTCCATCGGCTTCTTCCGCGCGCTGGCTCGGCACGCGCCGTCTAGTTAGTGAACTCCTGTGCATAATGTTTCCGTGTTTGTGTTTTGGTGTTTCAAACAGATCTATAGTCCCTGATCACAACTAGCTTAATAAATATAGACAGACATTGATATTTAGTTGAATACTTTGTGATAGAACCTATAAACTATATATTAATTATTTGACTAAAAGGAAAATATAAGCGGCCCGGGTTTTCAACCGGGGCTGCATGTGGGTTAATACAGTAACTACCAAATGTAGATTCAAACTTTATACTGCATTCAACTCAACTACAATTCTTCCAATTACCTTTGCATAGATCAATCCACATCTAAACTGACAGAAAATTATATCATTAAGCAACGAAATAGTGTTCCTCAAAATCAATCACAAAATTTACAACAACTGAAAGTTCAAAAGAATTCGAGTCAGACAGCAAAATACTACAATCAAGACATCTACAACACACCAACAGACCCAAACGGCAAGATAAAAGTGCTGAAAGTGGAAGGAAAAGACGTGAAAACCAAATGTGATGAAGTTCATGTGCACCACAACAATATTTCCAACATCTAATCCATTCGATGTTCCTTATCTTCAACTACAACAAACCGTATAGAGATATTGACAAAAAAAAGGTGAAGACTTAGATATATGTGCAATTGACTTAATGAGATAACGATCAAGGGTCGCAAGTACTCTAAAGCTTACCGAATATTTACATAGCATTGTAACATATTAGAATAGACAAAAAATAACAATCCTATACAAGTAAAAAACTGCCAGCAGATCATCATACGCAAACAAACTGCCCGAACTTCCTTCCCAGATGTGTTAGATGTCCACCAGCCCATTGTAACAAACATAAAGGTCTACCTGCAAAATGTGTTGTCTAGGTAATCACTCTGCGAATTATAGAGGATGTAAATATTTCAAAAACCCTATATTGAAAAGAACTTTTCAAAACTCGTCTTCTCATTCAAATATACATATTATTCAAACCCTTTCTCAAACAAGTGCTTCCCAACAAAATTTAAATGAAAATCACCACGCATATTATCCTCCTCCATCAAATACTACTAAAAACTTTCCAAATCTCCCAAACACATCTAAAGAATCGCAAAAGGTCCTTTCTTCAACATACTCTTCAGTTACCAACAAAAGTAATTCCTTTCATGAATTAATTCCTCTAATTTCATCTCAAATAATTAATATATTAATTCCTCAAATTCAAAAACTGATTGTAGAATTACTTCCAAAAATACTTCATAACAGACATTAATCCAAAAAATAAGATTCTAAATTGGAATGCAAATGGTCTACTACGACAATACAATGAATTTAAACACATACTTTATGATCGCAAAATAGACCTTGCTTGCATTACTGAAACTCACATTAAGAATAATAATAAAATGCATATCCCTGGTTATATTATTTATCGTGAAGATAGAACTTTAGATCTGAGTGGTGGAGGAGTAGCTATCATTATTAAACGTAATATTAAATATTACCAACATTTTATTCCAACATCTACAGATTTAGAAATGGTGGCAATTTCAATTTCTCTCGCACTCGGGAATATTATTGTAATTTCAACTTACAAGCCACCCAACAAAAAAATACCAATCCGAATTTTCAAATCTATATTCAACAATAACAACAAAGTTTTAATGATAGGAGATTTAAATGCAAAACACTCACTTTGGGGATGTCGAAAAACTACTCCTCAAGGTTGAACATTGTTTAACATAATTAACAAATTGAACTGCAATATTCACTCGCCATTACAACCAACATACTTCTCCTATAATCCCAACGTCTTTCCGGACATATTAGATATAATTATTTCTAAAAATATAAATTTTCAAATAATTCAATATTTCTAAGCTTTGGATTCGGATGATGATCCGATATTAATTAGCTTTCAGAAAATTACAACTATGAAATTTACTAGTAATGCACTTATTAAAAGTAAAGTTAATTGGAATACTTTTAAAGAAAATATAATTAGACTAAATAAATTCCCAGACAAATTGTACACTACAACAGAAATAGACCAGTCTATAATTGTTTTTCAACAAACTCACTGCTCTTCATAAATTTACCACAAAAAATCAACACACGTCTAAAATTACAAATACAACACTCCCTAAAGAAATATTGGAACTTATTTTTTCAAAACATAAAACTCGAAGAAAGTGGCAAAATACTCGAGACCCTTCTATTAAAGAAACACTAAATTCCTTAAGCAGAAAAGTTAAAAATTCACTTGAATTATACAGATATTCTCAATTTTCAAATTTTACTTCTAATCTTCTACCAAATACCAATTCTCTACGAAAAGCTATTAAAACAATAACTAAAGATAAAAATAATTAATTCCTATCAAATCAGGAAATACAATAGCTACAACGGATCTTGAAAAGGCAAATATATTAGCAAAACATTTTGCAGACCAGAAAGAATTAAATTTATTTCACATTCTGAAGTGCAATGTTTAATTAAAAAACTTAAATATTCAAAATATCTTGTACATGATCAAATTACTAATTACAGTAACTTAAACAGTTACCTTTTCCAACCATTAGTTCAATAACAGCAATTTATAATGCATGTCTCAGACTAAATTATTTCCCTAAATCTTGGAAATTAGCCATAATTTATCCTGTTCTTAAACCCTTAAACCCAATTAAGGTCACTCACTGCCAATTAATTTTCGTCCAGTAAGTCTGTTATCTTCACTATCAAAAATTTTTGAGAAAACATTACTCTCAAGATTACAAAAAATTATTTATCAAAATGACATGCTACCAAAATCTCAATTTGGATTCAGAAATAATCATTCTACAATCCATCAACTTTTAAGATTAACTGATTATATCGCTATCAACTTTCAACATTTTAAACATACATCAGCTATATTTCTAGATATTGAAAAGACCTTTAATAAAGTCTGGCATGATGGACTACTACATAAGCTACGGCAGATGGGAATCCCATACTATTTAAATCAATAATTAAGGGTTTTATTACATCCCGTTCTTTCAAAGTGAAAATTAACTCATAATTGTCTAATGAATATCTAATTTCAGCCGGAGTACCTCAAGGAACACCCATTTTCTCCTTTGCTTTTCAATATCTTCATCTCTGACCTACCATTCTTTGAAAATTCAGAAATTGCATTATTTGCTGATGACACAATTTTATACATTTCACATCATGTTATTTTACAAAGTAAAAACAATTTACAACATGATTTTCACATCTTAATAGATTGGTTTAACAATTGGCAAATAAATATTAATCCTACAAAATATTAAGCAATGGTATTTTCATTAAGAAGAATTAAAAATATGATCCACTAAAAATTAATAACAACAATGCAATGGTTATCTCCAAATACTGCTGTTAAATATCTTGGCTTAAATATAGATACAAAGGAAAGATCATCTAATACATACGGCGAATAAAAAAATATTATGGGGTGGCACAGAAAAAAAACAAAACAAAAAAAACAACGCAAAATTGAAGTTACTCATAATAGATTCTGTAGACGTGTTTTAAATTGTCCATGGTTTCTTAGAAATAATCAAATCCAGAGAGAACTTTCTATTGAACTCCTTAAAACATGAATTAATAAATTATCAAACAGTTTTTACTCTTCACTCACCTCTTGCCCAGCGACACAAATTTTCCAGTTGGGACAGTCAGCTCTCCCTTTACCCCGTATTAAATCTCGTCCTTCGACAAATTTATTACATCCTCCTTAATTACACTGATTAGCTTTTCAATAGCACCAAATCACGAAAATTAAAGTACCTGTTCAGAGGCCCCTTCCTAGAACAACGTCTAAAATTGTTAATTATGTTTATAATATACCAAAAAATCAATGTACACTATGTAAATATGTTCATACCCTTGAAAGACACTTTTATGTCGAACAAGGAAAATATACAATAAAAAAGGCACTTTCCCCTCTCGCCCCTCAAAGATTTCCCTCCTCGTTATCTCAAAGGGGCGGAGCAATTTCTGAGGTGACGCTGCCCCGCTGCCAGCGAGAGAGGGCACGAAATTGAGTGAAAGTAGAAAATACCCTGAAAATTAAACCTCATTTACGGTGATTTCATTACTGTGAAAAATATTTGTGCCAGAATGAACTGATAGTAGGAAAGTCATTTCTTTTTGTAAACAATTTTAAAACATTAATAGTTCCAAAGCAAGGGACACGAAATATTGTATAATTATTTGCAGAAAACACAAAAATACATTATTTAATATAATCATTTCCTATCAAGCTTATTGAAATTCATTATTATATTTTAAAACAATTTTAATTTTGACGTTGCTACACCATTATCGGTATTCAAGTACGCTCACTTTTTGTTACATGTCATGGGATTGAAATCGCCCACTTTTTCTATACAAGCTGTTTTAACAAATCCATTGTTTTCGTTAATCGATTAAAAATCACTAGCGGATGTCTCAAGTACAATTTTTTATATTTATATGATTTTTAATATTGTTGGTATTTTCTCGTGATAAGCTATGGAAAA